CATTTAAGGAATTTTCAAATAACAAAATCAAATATTTTTAATTTCAAGTTAATTTATTAAAATTAAGTAAAATAAAAAGTTCTGTACTTCAGCTATACTTAATATGTATGAAATGATAACACCTATGGCTAGTGACTGTCATACAGCATAGGTCTATACCAGCTTCTGGTCATGTGGTGTATAACGACACTGCACATGATCAAACATTAGGGATCAACTTACCTGCATTGAAGTCCTGGCTTATCACCTCCTAACTAGATGACATTTGAATAATTACTTGTGTCGTCTGAATCTAGTTTTTTTTTTTTTCAGCACTAAATAGGGGTAATATTGTTCACTGTGAAGAGTTGGTAGGGTAATTAAGCGAGCTTATAAATATAATTCTGCTACTGCAAATTCAGGTGTATTCGTCCTCAGTAAATGGCAATTGGTGTTAGGAATACTCATGTTAGAGACTACACCATTTCCCATATATCATCTGCAGAGTGAGCTAATGTATGATGACTGATGATTGTTGTTGTAATGGTTGTTGATTAATGACTGATAACAACTGGACTCCAAATAACCCTGAATACGGAGGAATGGAGATCACTATCTATTTAGAATCTAAAGCTATCCTGGAGTGTTCTTGGCATCTAGAAAAGGAGCATGAGGGCACATTTTACCCTTCATGCTTACAGAATGGCAGCCATTGATTTGGCCCATGGCCAGCCTTTGTTGATGCTTACTGTTAGAGAATCTGCTTTAGGCCTCCCGTATACAATATGGAGTCCCGTGGTCTGGGCCTAAGCAGTTACTCTACCCTGCTGCTTCATCTTGGAGGGACTAAAGTGGGCTGGCTAGAGAATGATGTTTTGTAAGTCAGTTCCCCAGTATGCGGGCTTTGAAGAGACATGCTGCTTAATCTTCTTAATGAGATTTGTCACCATGGGCAAATAGAGAGTCACTTTTCTCTGGGCTTAAGTTTCCTTACCTGTAAAATGAGACTATTACAGTTTGATGGGCAGCATGGCTCACCATCCCTTTTTCTGGCTTTAGGTGAGACAGAACTGCTGTGGCACTGTATGGCTTAGTGTGTATGTGTATGAGTTTTTTTGAGTGTGCAGGATTATATGGGAATTTCCTACTACGATGGAATAACATCTGTTCAATATGCCATTCCAAAGATTCCTCATCAGGAATGTTAGGCAACTTCTGAGTTCTATACCCAAGTCCTGGGAGAGTTTGTCTGTCATAAGTTGTCTCATTTTACTCGGTATTGTCTTGACCAAGGATTCAGGTCTGATAGGGGTGGTACTGTCCCTCATTGTCTTGAGCAGAGGTGTTGTTGTCTGAGGGGTTATCATTTCCCACGATCACTTCTTGGGCTGGGTGATGTTGTCTGAGGCATTGTCATCTCTGGTGGGGTGACTGAGTGGCCTTCCCAGGTAGCAACCAAATATGGGAAGGTAGGGTCTTAAAGGTGTAGTGTGGCCCGAGATATTTGTGAGGCCCTGAGCAGAGTTTCTGTACATCGTTAAGGCTGATCACTAGAATCACAGATTATAAGTAATTTCTGGGGGTCCTAGGGGTGCATTGTGCAAAGATTTGGGTGGCACTTTTTTCTGAAGAGTAGGATGTTACTATCCGTAGTTAGTATAAATTGGAAGCACATGCACGACCTTGGGCCAGACAGAGCTTAGTGACTTGTTCTCAGCAATCTTACCTCGGGTGATGATGAATGGGTCAGAGCTGCACAGCATGAGCAGTTGGGTTAAAATTTGAGTAGTTAGCTGGCCATCGTCCTGAAGTTACAATCTCTGGGACTGTTTGTTGAGGTTGGGTCAGTGTTAAACATCAGTGCCTTTGGTTCTGTAATTGGGTTGTCTGTATCCATACCAGATGGCACTTTGGGTGCAGTCCCTCTGGGACTGCCTTCCAACAAGAGCACTTTCCCCATCCTGGGGTACAGTTGTGCACCAGGGATGTTTGGTTCCAACAGCTCTCCAGTATACCAGATGGCACTTTGGGTGCAGTCCCTCTGGGACTGCCTTCCAACAAGAACACTTTCCCCATCCTGGGGTACAGTTGTGCACCAGGGATGTTTGGTTCCAACAGCTCTCCAGTGTGGCCTGACTGGGGTCTAAAAGGAGCCCCAAAACTCAAATGGCCCAACAGGTGCATAGTAATGCCAGCAACAGTGAATATCCACATTTTAGTATTCTGTGCTTACCTGTGAGCTGCCCCAGGTGAACATTTATCATAGGGCCATTTTAGAGCTTTTCTTTCATTGGTGATCCACTTGAGGTCAGAATGCAGATATGCTTATCATGTTGGGGATCTGTTCCTGGGATCATGGGGGCCATGACCAGGTTGTCATCTCCTGATGTTGCTGATATTTACTAATTTTAGTGCTTGCTCCCCTCTTTTGGAAATCCATAACATGCCTTCCGTGTGCCCTGGTGCAATTATTTCTACCTCTTGTGGGGAGTTTTGATTAGGAGAAATAAGCCATCCTTTGAAGCTACTATACATACCTAGGAATTGCAGCAGATATTTGCAACTCAAGCGGATAGGTGTGATTCCAGAGCAACATTGTGGATTTGCTCTCAGGAAAGTCTTGGGCTCTCTGTTACCAGGGGATCATACCTTACCACCTATCCCCAAGCAGGTCTCCAATGGATATTAGAAGGGGAGATGATTGATATTTTAAATCTATAGGAGTCGTGGGGGGATTATATATATTGTTATATCTCAACAAGAAGGAATCCTGCCGGGGACCAGCCCCAGCACAGAGATTGTAAAGGTCCCCACTGGTAAGGGATCCCCCAAAAGGGAGGAAGGGCAGCGTCGGCGATGGAGCGGCAGCAAACATACAGACCCAAAGGATCTGTTGAATGCTGGGACAACAAACACACAGACTCAAGGGATCTGCTGAATGCTGACAATTTATTGAAGCAAGCATCAGACTTTTATACTTTTCTTTCTTATTTGCTACATAATCATAAAATAATCAATGAACAATATCATAATATCTCTTTGTAAGTGACATATGTTTTAAGAAAAATAGGATTACAGTTTATTCCCAGAAAAGACAATTACAATGTCCTTTCCTTTGAGCAAGAACGTTACAACCCACTGGTCCCATATAATCATCACTTTTCATCACTTGCAATTATTACCGAAACTACATCTATGGTACAATAGACTTTCTATGACGTTATTAAAACTTAATTCACACCTACATCTAACTATTCTTTATTCCTAAATAAACACTCTAAAAATTAACTTGCTTAACTAAACTTCTACTTCTATTGTAAAACAAAAGATTGTACATTAACTCCTTCCAAGCAGCCAGGCCAGACTCTCAGGCACCAGACAAGACGAATGCCTACATAGGTTCGTTGTCCCCATTATCAGTCCCTAATAATTGTCCTAAAATTAACTTTTCTCTGCCCCTGGTCCCTTTAAGAATTTGTGACTGAAGAGCTGATTTTGCCTGCTCTTCATACTCCGTTTTCCACAACAAATATTGACCAGGAGTTAAACATGATTTAGCAGTTTGTTGCCAATCAAAAGGTGTGAGCCATCGAGAGCCAATATTTTCTACCAATTGAACAGCATAAGGGGAAGTTGGTCCCAAATCCCTTACTGCTGTTCTTAATTCTTTAATGATCTTAAAAGACAAAGGCTCCCATTGGGGCTCACCATCATCATCTATTGCCCAGATGACAGGGCAGCAGATGCTCAGATCTCCTTGTTGTTGAGCCTCTGCAACTGCTCCTAAAAAGCCTACTCTGTTAGGCAAAGGTTTAATAGATTTTTTTCTTGGCCTCCCCAGTTCCACTAAACTTACCAGTACTGACTATGTGGCCATATGTACCCAATTATGTTCAGGGGAATGATAACCATAAGGCTTGAAATTTCGTATGGTTAACACCTGAGGTAAAAGGGCTGTCCACTTGGGTTTCCATTTGCCTTGCTGTAATTTAAGCAGCAAGAATTTTAGCAGTCCATTAGGGTACTTGCTTGATAAGGCCAGAAGCTTGTGGACGGTAGGCCAATTGGAAGTTCCATTGTATGTGCTGTTTGAGGGCCCACTGTTGGGTAGTGTGGGCTGTGAAGTGGGATCTTTGATGCAAGTCTGCCACCTCAGGGTGTCCAAACAGGAAGGGTACATTTGGTAAAATAATTTTTCCCCCACAGTGTTTCTGGTTGGGGGCACAGACCAAGACTGGTATGTGTATCAATGGCAGTTATAGGGAAAGGGGAAGTGCCCACCGAAGGAGGAAGCAGGCCAATGAAATCAACCTGCCATCTGGTAAAAGGGTATTCCTCTCAAGAAACCGAGGCATAACAAGGCAATTTTCAATGTTTGGTCAGGGAGCATAACTTACAATTGAGGACAGCTCACTTGGCCAGGGTTGTTGTGAAGGGAATGCTTGGGCAGTGGGCCCACATTATTGTATTGTGTCTGTGGTGCCTCCTTGGGCCACCGACATATGGGCCTACTTGGCCGTGGAAAAGGTGTATGAAATTGGTGACCGAGGAAGGCTGGAACAGAGAGATTCCGGACTGAGCTACAAGGGGAAAGTTGTGGGAAGGGCTTAGGTGGTCATATGGGGGATCCTGGCGGAGCAGTAGATGTGGTTAGACCAGAGCAGGTGGTGACTGGTATACACGGGGAGGAATCAGCCTTGAGGTTAAGCATTGCTCCAGGAGCGGTGGCACTGGTGTGGGCCAAAATATATGTGACCTTCATGTGGCTTAGAGCCTTGGCTGTTTCTAAATGGAGGCAGCCCACAGGGGATGGCCTTGAATAGGGAACATGTGTCTCTTTGCCATTGGCCTGAACAAAGAGCTATCCCATTCGCAACCACCCAGGAGTCAGTAAAAATGTGGACCTGCCTTCAGTCACTTGAGGAGCTGGGTCAGGAAGTGTCCTAAGGGCTGGTCCTTGGGGTGCCACTTTGGAGCCCCTTCCAAAGCCTCTAAAGCAACCCTTCTGAATTATTTCACAGAAGGAGAAGAATTTCTGCCAATCGTGGCACATTGACTTCAGCCCTCTTTCCTTATGCCTCTGGACCTGGCGATTATGGCGTGTTCAGGTGAGCACTGGGAGAAAGTTGGTTCAGGAGGGCCTCTACTTCCATTTCTTTAGAAAAAAATGATTTGTCTGAGAATTTGCCTTTGTCTTTCATGTCCTTTATTTATTTTTGACGCATTACATTTGCCTAGAAAGATAAGATAGATTTTCAGGTGTCTGCAGTGTGCATATTTCTATGTATAAACATATGTAGACTACCAGTTTTTCTACTAAAGAAAAATAAGAATTCTCAGCTGTTCTCTTCATCTGAAATTCCGAGGCCTGTACATTCCCACAGAGCTTCAAAACGGGCTTCCAGGAAGAAAGGATGGAGTCTTTATCACACTGGTACTAGAATAATTGAATTTATTATTAACAGCATGTTTGGACTAAGTGTATTTTTTCCCACATTTTTTTTTTTTTGAAAAATCTGAATCTAATAAATTTGAATATCTAGTACAAGGAGGTACCCATTATAGTAGATTTACTCATTTTCAGCATTGTTCATGTTTGCTCTCTTCTCAGATAATAAACACATTTTATGGGGAATTATTATTTGAATGTAAGTTGAGAATAAAATTGCATACATGATACTTGACCCTTAAATGCTTGATAATTCATCTCCCAAAGATACAGACATTGCCCTACCTTATTTCACCTACAAAATTTTAAAAAATTTGTTATCTAATGTCTCTTTCGTGTAATAACTAGGATTTTCCACAGCGTTTCAACATATAATGTTGGGTGTTTGGGGATCTAAGATCCATTCAAGGTTTATAAATTTCAATTGTTTGTCTTTTCATTTAGAGCTGTCACTATTGTTTCTCTGTTATATTGATTTTTGAAGAGTCACACTTTCTCTTAGAGAGTCACAGAATTAGATATTTCTGATTGTATTCTCATGGTGTGTTTAAATATTCCTCCATTACTTGCTATTTCCTATAAATCTGAAATTGGGTCCAGAAGATAAGTTAACAAATTTTGTTTGATAAAGGCTGACAGTAACTACAGTTTTGTGCTGCATAATAACGTTTCTGTCAGTAAGGGACCACATATATGACAGTGGTCCCATAATATACTGAAGCTGAAAAATTCCTATTGCCTATTGACATTGTAGCCATTGTAACTTTTTAGCGCAACACATTACCTTTTCTGTTTAGATATTTTCCATGGTGTTACATGGTGTCTTCATTATTCAGTACAGTAACATGCTGTAGAGCTTTGTAGCCTAGGAGTAACAGGCTATACCATATAGCCTAGGTGTATAGTAGGCTGTACTATCTAGGTTTGTGCAAGTATACTCTGATGTTTAAACAATGGTGAAATTGCATAATGATGCATTTCTCAGAATGTTTCACCACCTTTAAGTGACACATGACTGTACTTTATGCTTTATGCCATATTTAAAAGATTCTGTCTGTCACCTCAGAATGGTGAAATTGCATAATGATGCATTTCTCAGAATGTTTCACCACCTTTGAGTGACACATGACTGTACTTTATGCTTTATGCCATATTTAAAAGATTCTGTCTGTCACCTCACCATACGCTTTTAGTCATCATTACTGCTGTAACCACAAAGAGCATCCTTCATTTGGGCCCTCACTGCAAAGACTTCAGTTTTCACTTCATCAGAATCAGCCATACGTAATAGGGTGATTAATGTAATGTGATGAATGTCTTTCCCATTGTCAAGAACCTTAACTCTTTGATCAGCCACAAAGGCTTGACCAAACCAGTCCCCATATCTCATCATTACAGGTTCATTTTGTAGGATCATTGTCTGTCTCAATTACATATAAGCCTGTGTCCAGTGAAGAGACAGAAATCACTCGATTGCTTGTTTTAAACAGGAAAAGTATAATAGAAAGATGTAAAGAAAACTAAACAGAGTACCTGAGGAAGGCCAAACTCTATTGTGGGGCATCTTCCCAAGACTTGGCTTTAGACCTTGTTGGAGAAAGTCATTGCAGCCTATTGGCTAGTGAAGAAATTTACTGAGTTGCCTGCGCCGGAAGTGGTCAGCAGTCATTTGGGAAGCATTGTACAACCCTCTGGAATGTGAACTAGTTGTCTTGGTAGGCAGATGTGCAGAAGGATAAATACTATGAAAAGGGTGGTTTTCTGAGAAGACCCATAAAATTTTTTTTTTTTTTTTTTAAAGATGACTGGTAAGGGGATCTTAACCCTTGACTTGGGGTTGTCATCACCACGCTCAGCCCGTGAGCAAACCGGCCATCCCCATATGGGACCCGAACCCGGGGCCTTGGTGTTATCAGCACCGCACTCTACCGAGTGAGCCACGGGCCGGCCCAAAGACCCATAAAATTGGCAAGTATTCGGCACAGTTTGATTTTGTGCCATCATCTTGCCCAAGAACCAATTCACAATATTTGGGCTTTCAGAGTGGGGGGAGGACGGACAGTATTTTCTCACCTGCTTGATTTTTTTTTTGAAGATGTCTGGTAAGGGGATCTTAACCCAAGTGAGCTAAGCGGCCATCCCTATATAGGGATCCGAACCCATGGTCTTGGTGTTATCAGCACCACACTCTCCCAGGTGAGCTACGGGCTGGCCCCCCTGCTTGATTTTTTTTTTCCATAGTACCAACGAATTGACGCATCAATTGCTAGGTCATTGCTTATCCATTTGCATGGGAATGTTGGATCTGTGAGGCCTGGGACATTTTCTGTATATATCATGGCTTTGCACTAAGTGCCTTGTACAGGGTCAGAACTTCTTAATTATTTGTTGAAAGTATAAAGCAATAAGCTGGAGCTGAAACCTTCAAAGGAGACACAGAGCTCTACACTGCTCCAAGCTCCATCATGGGACGCTCAAGGGAGTCAACCAATAAAATATTTCAATTTTCTCTTCTTCATCATGCCCAACAGCTGTCTAGACCATTGCTGCCTAATAGAAACATAATGTGTAGGTCATATATTTCTTTTTTTTTTTTTCTCCTTTTTTGTCTTTTTTCGTGACCGGCAACGGATTGCAACCCTCAGTGTCGCGCCCGTACCGGACCGGGACCGGCAACGGGATCACAACCCTCGGCGTTGCTCCCGCACCTCGCTCAGCCAGTGAGTGGCCGGTCCGTGAAATATATTTCTAATAATATTCCATATGTCCAAAATATTATTTCTTTATGTAGTCAGTATAAAAAATTGCAATTTTTTATTCTTCATGCTAAGTTTTCAAAATTCATTAAAGACTAAGTTTTAATCAGATGTACATGATTTATACTTAGACCTGATCAAAATAACAGTTAAAAAGGTGGATTCCAGTGACCAAGTTTCCAAACATAAATTTAAGTTCTTCAATAAGTGAATCAAGTATCAATTTTTAAATTTTAACTAAATTAAATAGTAAAGTCTGCTTTTCAGTTATACTAGCTCATAATAGCACACATGGCTAGTGCTTACTGTATTGTGCAGTGCAATTCTGTATATGCTTTTCGTCATATTGGGGAGTCACAAGAAACTCAAAAGTTCAGGCTTGAGACAAGGTAACCTGCATTCAAGTCCTGGTTCATCACTTTTAAAGTGTATGATGTTGGACCAGTTAGCATTTTCTGAACGTAGAGGTGTTTTTTAGCTGTTAAACTGGGGTAATATCTATTGTGAAGGGTTGATATGAAGGGTGGTATCTTGTGAAGAACTGAAGTGAGCTTATATATATGTAAGGCTCCTGCTGAGACTTCTGACACATACTGCTTCTGGTAAATGACAATTGATGTTACTAATATTCAGGGAGTATACCAGTTTTAGTGGTTTTCACATATATCCTCTGTAGAGAGAAATCTAATGTATAGTCTTAAAGACTGACAAGTAATGTTTGTTGATTGGCAATTGATATGAAATAGGTCTCCAGATATCTCTATAGCAGGACAGATGGAGATTGTGCTATCCATTTAGATTCACAAGTTGCCTTGAAATTGTCTTGGCATCATGGAAAGGACTGTTCAGGCACATTTCATTGTTATCCTTACAGGATGGCAGCCATTGGTTTGTCCCGTAGTAAACCCTGTTGATGCTCTTTTTCTGAGACTGCTTTTAGGTGTTCCTACACAGTATAGAGTCCTGTGGTCTGGGCCTGAGCAGTTATACTTTCGGTTTATTTCGGAGATGCTGAAGTGGGCCACAGTATGATGTTTTGTAATTCAGTCCCTGGTACATGTGCTTTGGGAGGGGGTGCTGCATAATCTCCTTCATGACTGTCATCACCATAGGCAAATAAATAAACATTTTTCAGGGCTTATGTTTCCTGACCCGTAAAATGAGTCTATTACCCTTTATCCAATGTGCGGCATGGCCCACTTTCCCTTTTCTGACTCTAGGTGAGACACACTGCTCTGGTAGTATGTGGCAGTCTAGTGTGTATGTGTGTGTTGTCTTGAGTGTGCAGGGTTTTATGGGAATTTCATACTAGGATGTAATGACTTTTAGGCATATGAATGTGGGAATTACGGTCACCTCTGGGTTCTCTTGTTTCCTTTTCTTGCAGGAGGTCTTCTTTCTAAGAACCCGATCTGCCTTCATAAAGAAAAGATATAGGCAGCAAGGATGGTGGCTGACTATCTGATAAATTGTAATCAGGTATGCTACAAGTGTATTTTTCTAAAAAATTACAGTCAGTCAGCCCTCTGTATCTGACGATTTTGTATCTGTGGATTCAACCAACCTTGAAAATATTCAGTCAACTGAAAAATGTTTAAAAAAAAAACCCAATAAAAATAATACCAATAAAAACCCAATACAGTATAACAACTATTTACATAGCATTTACATTGTACTGAGTATTATAAGTAATTCAGAGAAGATTTTAAGTATACGGTGTGATGTTTGTAGGTTATATGCAGATACTATGTCATTTTATATAAGGGACTTGAGCATCTGCAGATTTTGGTATCTTCAGGGGGTTCTTGAAACTAATCCCCGGTGGATAATGAGGGATGACTGTACTTGCATCCATAAGGATGACACATTTTCCTCTAGGTGGACAGATCTTCAGTTTCTCAAAGCAAATAAAGCCACACTCATGGACAGAGTTTCTAGTTGAATATTTTCAGGGAGTGGACCCTCTACATTGGTTAAGTACTGTTTTGAGAATCATCACAGTATTTCAGTAATTACATTATTTTGACCCTCATGGTGCCAAGTGCATGTTTCTTATTTAGCTTAGTTCTCTAACACATGATCAGGAAGACGAAAGTGCTTCTTTCCTCAAGGAGTTTATTCATACATTACAGTTTATGAAATTTTTTTTTTTTTTTTTAAAGATGACCGGTAAGGGGATCTTAACCCTTGGCTTGGTGTTGTCAGCACCACGCCCAGCCAGTGAGCGAACCGGCCATCCCTATATGGGATCCGAACCCGGGGCCTTGGTGTTATCAGCACCGCACTCTCCCGAGTGAGCCACTGGGCCGGCCCAAGTTTATGAAATATTTTAATGTGCTCAAGAGTGTGCTGTCATAAAGGAAAATAAGACAAGAAGAGCTCCCAGTCCAGTCGTGGTGAGATAAGTTCATGTGTAAGAGGTACCATTAAAGCCATATGACTGGAGGAGATCAACAGTGAGTGAGTGTTGATAGGGAAGAATGCCTAGGAACATTGAACTTTTGGGGTAGACAATGGCTTAACCCAGCATGTGTATGATGATTTAGGACCCAGTGACCTTTGATGATGTGGCTGTGGACTTCAGTCGAGAAGAGTGGATTTTATTGGATCAAACTCAGAGAAACCTATACAGAGATGTGATGCTGGAGAACTACAAGAACCTGGCCTTAGTTGGTAAGACTGCCACCAATTGTTGTAGCCTCCTATGAAACAGGTACATATTATGTACTTATTGTGTCACAGGATTGATGATGTCAAATCTGAATAGATGGGAAATAACAGAGACATAGTTACTGCACTAGTGGGTTTTAATCTAGTGTAATAGTTTGCAAATGTGGTCCTAGGATCAGAAGCATCACTGTCACTCTATTTGAAGTGCACATTCTCACACTCCTATATTGACATACTGAGTTAAAAAGTCTGCTCTTGAGGCCTTGTCATTTGTTTTAACAAACCCTGCAGATGAATCTGATTCACTCTAAAGTTGAGAATTACTGGGTAGTAGTTTCCCATGAGAATGAAGATTTGTTATTGTACTTTTTTGAAATAATTTCACAGTTTTTTTCAGAAATGTAGTTCCTGTTTCCAGGGTACGTTTGTCTTGTCGTCCATAAGCCTCTTCCACTGATGTGTCTTTCCCTATGTACAGGATACCAGCTGTTCAAACCCAGCCTGATCTCTTGGCTGGAGGAAGAAAAAGAGTTGAGAAAGAGAGTTCTCCAAGGTTGGTGCTGGTGAAGACCATTTCTGGTCAATTATAAGTTTAGTATGTTTGGAAGTATCTTAGTGTGTTTTGTGTTGCTATAACGATATACCTGAAACTGGAAACTACCCAATTTATAAACAATAGAAGTTTGTTTGGCTTATAGTTCTGGAGGCCAGGAAGCCCAAGAGCTTTGCTGTCAGCATGTGGTGTAGGCCTTTGTGCTGCATCATCCCATGGTGGAATGGGGAAGGGCCAGACAGTTAGTGAGCAAAAGAGGGCAGAAATTGCTTTTATAACAACCAGCTCCCATGATAACCACATTCATCTGTTTATGATGGTGGAGTTCTTACAGCTTAATCACCACCTGATGGTCCCACCTCTTAATACTATGATAACGGCAATTAACTTTCAATGTGAATTTTAGAGTGGACATTTAAACCATGAGAGGAAGTATAATTAGGAAACTTTTTAATATGTACTTTGTCACAGAAGATGACACCCTTAGACTCAGAAGTTTTCGAATATCTTCAACTTTCCATATTCCATCTACGGAGACTTTTTTCTGTGATCTCATTAAACTGTAATGCCCTTTGTGCAGAATATTACTACTTCCCTTTCCTAAGAATAGTGATTTTTTTGTTCATCATCACATTTAATTTGTATAGAATAAGCTGTTAAAAAAAAATTAGAAAATTTAGAACCCATGTTGTTGTGATTCCCAAATCTAGACATAGCGAAAGTGTCCAAAGTTATCTTTGATTTATTTTTAACATATTTAATATGAAAACAAACACAAATGAACTTTATCATTTTTAAGTTACTTAACCTTTTGTTGTGCAAACCTTTATTTTTTTTCTGTTTTACTTCAGAATGGCAACTTAAAAACAAAGGGTCAGCACTTCAGCAGGATATTATTCGGTTAAAAACAACAAATGGGATACAATTGGTAAGCTTAACAAGGGAGATTTCTTATTGACCACACTCAGAAAATACTGGGGAATTCCATTATGGAAAATCAGCACCTAAAGAGAGATTTGAGAGTAGTGTTTACCCAAGAAGGAGGAATGTCTCCAGAGGGATATTCTGAATATGATGAATTTAGGGATAAACTAACCTATGTAACTAGGTATTAAGGTCTTTTTAAACTGTTTGTTGAAAATATGGAAGAAACTTAGAGCAGATGGCACAGGATTCTTACTATAGGGTTTCTTTATTCAACTTAAAAAGAAATACACAGAGCAGGAACTATGCATACAATGACAATGGAAAAAGTCATAAACATTGTAGTAATGTTTCTGTCTTCAAATGGGGGAATCTATTAAAAACTCTAAAAAATGCTCTAATCATCATCTATGCCTTCATCAACAGGCAGGAAGCCACCATAGAGGGGAACTCTATGACTGTAAGCAATGTGGAGAAATTGCCAGTGAACACTCATGCCTTAAGACACACATGAGAACTCAAAATACAAGGGATACTTGTGACTGTAATCAGTATGGAAAAGACTTTCCTAATCTGCACAAGAAAACCTCTGTGGGAGAAAAACTTTCCATGTTGAATCACTGTGAAAAAACCTTTAGCCTTACTCCAGATGTTGTTTCCCAGAGCACGTACATGCCTGACAAATCCTTTGAATGCAGTGACTTTGGGAAAGCATTCCTTAACAAGTCACACCTTCAGGCACATAAGACAACTCACAATGGGGAAAAACTCTACAAATGGAAGCAATGTGGGAGGGCTTTTTCACACACCACAAGCCATTCTGTGCCTGCTCTAATAAATACTGTAAAAAAGCCCTATGAATGTAAGGAATGTGGGAAAGTCTTTAGATATTCCTCACACCTAAATAATCATGTGCGAACCCACACTGGGGAGAAACCCTATGAATGTCAGGAATGTGGGAAGTCCTTCACTATTTCTTCAAGCCTAACTGAACATATAAGAATTCATACTGGAGAGAAACCCTATGAATGTAAGGAATGTGGAAGAGCATTCACTCGGTGCTCAGGCCTTTCTAAACACGTACGAACACACACTGGAGATAAGCCCTTTGAGTGTAAGAAATGTGGAAAAGCCTTTATTGACCACTCAAATCTTACTAATCATGTACAAACACACATGGGAGAGAAGCCCTATGAATATAAGGAATGTGGGAATGCTTTCACTGAGCACTCAAATCTTACTAAACGTGTACAAACATATGCTAGAGAGAAGCCCTTTGAATGTAAGGAATGCGGGAAAGCCTGCAGTACGTTTTATCTACTAACTGTACATCTAAAAACTCACACATGGGAGCCTTTTGAATGTAAGGTATGCAGAAAATCTTTTAAATATTCATCGTACCTTAATAATCACTTTCTAATTCACACTGGAATAAAACCATATAAATGTAAGGACTGTGGGAAAGCCTTCCTTTTTTCCTCAACTCTACGTACTCATGTAAGGATTCACACTGGAGAGAAACCCTATGAATGTAAGGAATGTGGGAAAGCCTTCTCATTTTCTTCAAACCTAACTACACACGTAAGAACTCACACTGGAGAGAAACCCTATGCATGTGAGGAATGTGGGAAGTCCTTCACTCAGTCCTCAGGTCTTGCTAAACATGCACGAACTCACAGTGGTGAGAAGCCCTATGAATGTAAGGAATGTGGAAAAACTTTTACTACAAACTTTGGTCTTATTGAACATATAAGAACTCACACTGGAGAGAAGCCCTTTGAGTGTAAGATGTGTGGGAAAGCATTTACATATTTTTCAAACCTTTCTGTACATCAGAGAACTCACACTGGACAGAAGCCCTTAGAGTGTGAGATATGTGGGAAAGTATTTACACAGTTCTCAAGTCTTAATAATCACATACAAACTCACAGTGTTCAAAAACCTTAGGTATGTAAAGAATGTGGGAAGTCCTTTATAACACATTCCTTAATATTCCCATGTGGTCCTGCACTGGAGAAAAACTATTATGAATGGAAACAATGTGCCTAAGCCTTCACTTATTCCAATTCACTTCAAGTACACGAAAGAAGTTACACTGGAGAGAAACCACACCTGTGTTACAAACATGCAGCCTCCAGGTATTCCTATGAAGTCCTATGAACATAGAAAATGTAGAAAATCCCTTAGTTGTCCCAGTTCACTTCAAATACATCAATGAACTCATACTAGAGAGAAATCCTATGAAAGTCAGGAATGTGGGAACACCCTCACTAAATATTTCAGGTGTTTATGGACAAGTAAGTTATTTACAATGGTGAAATCCCTGTTAGTAAGGAATGTGGAGAAGACTACTGGATCCTCAAGACTTCCTTTATTCATCATAACTCACTAGAGTGAATGTAAAGAAAATGGGAAGACCTTCCTTCATTCCACAAACATTATATGTCTCTGTGAACTCAACAGTCAAGAGAGACCTCTGACTTAAATGGCATTACCTGGATGATATCCCCCCTGAATTTTCATTTTGAACACCTAACCCCTAGTACCACAAAATGTAACCCTGTTTGTACAGAGGTTTTTAAAGGGGCAGTTGAATTATGCATGGAAAGCTGCTGTTATTTCAGGTGTTGCTAAATAAGTAACATCTTGCAGTACAGAGAAACCCTATTAATGAAAGTTACATCGGAGGATTGTAGTTCTGCTCAATAAAGTTCATTTGCAAACTAAGAGTGAAGAAATCTTTATGAATGTAAGTAAATGTTGACAATGATTTTTTCCATTTGATTGTCCTTTATCTGTAATTAATATAGCTTAACTCAAGTATGAATGTAGAGAATATGGGAAGTGCGTCCCTGAGTTCTGAAATCTTATGATGTTCTTTCGGAGACATGGCTTTCTAGGTGGTTGTATAGATCTATTTTGAATATTTCGGAGTTTGCTCTGGACATTCCTAGTTACAATGTGTCTTTCTTTCCCATAATAGCCAAGCCAGTTCACTCAAGTTGCTATACCTTTTAAGTTGCAACCTAGCCAAACATTAGCCTAATAGATTCAGATTTTGTTTTACTTTAGCCACCTGGATTCTCCAGTTGCATTGACCTGGTCGTTGTGAAGACCATAACCTGTTGACTGCATATACTGCTCACCAAGTCTACCTATGGTGGGTCAACAACAGGTTGGGGGGGTGGATATAATACATTTCTTTAAATATTTTTGAAGGATTTGTTTATTTGGAGCAGTTTTAGCTTTGTAGCCAAGTAGAGAGGAAGATGCAGAGATATATAATCTCTGCCCCCACGTATACTATTTAGCCTTCCCCATTATCAACACCACCCACCAATTGATACATCTGTTGTAATTGATGAATCAATATCAATACATCATTGTCACCCAAAGTCCATTGTTTATGTTAAGGTTTACTCGTAGTGCTATTCATTCTGTTTTGGAGAAATGTATACTGGCATGTACTCACCAATATAGTATCATGCATAGTATTTTCATTGATCTAAAAATTCATCCCTCTCTGTACCCTAACTCTGGGCAACCACTGACCTTTTTTTTTTTTTTTTTAAAGATGACCGATAAGGGGATCTTAACCCTTGACTTGGTGTTGTCAGCACCACGCTCACCCAGTGAGCAAACCAGCCATCCCTATATGGGATCCGAACCCGGGGCCTTGGTGTTATCAGCACCGCACTCTCCCGAGTGAGCCATGGGCCAGCCCGCAACCACTGACCTTTTTACTGTCTCCATGGTTTTACCTTTTCCAGAATGCCATGTATTTGGAATTACACAATATTTTGCCTTTTTAGATTGACTTCTTTCATTCAGTAATATGCATTTAACTTCCCTCCATATCTTTCCATGGCATGATAGCCTATTTTCTTTTTAGAGCTGTTTTAATATTTTATTGTCTGGATATATCACACTTTATAGCCATTCATCTATTAAAGCACATCTTGACTTCTTCCAAGTTTTGGCAATTATTAGTAATTCTGATAGAAACACCTGTGTACAGGTTTTTGTGGGCACTTTACTTTGGGTAAATAACATGGAGTGATGTATTAGTTCATTTCTGTTGCTTATAACACAATACCTGGAACTGGGTGATTTATGAGCAAATGAAATTGACCGCTTACAGTTTCTGAGGCTGGGAAGTCCAAAGTCCAGGGAACACATCTGGTGAGAGTGTACTTTGGTGGTAGCTTTACATCAATGCAGAGGTCTCACATGGCAGAAAATGGCAGATCAGAGAAAGAGACTCTCATGTGCTCTCCTTTTAAAGCCCTCAGAACCATGCCCATGACCACCATTATTAATCGATTCACTATGGCATTGTTGTACAATCTAATCACCTCAAGGCCCCACCTTTCAATTACCATAATAGGATTTCCCATCCTCAACAGTTACAGTTGGAATAAGCTTCTAATATATGGACTTTGGAGGACACAATTCAGTCAATCCACAGCAAATGCAATCTCTAGAGACTGGTAAGAATATATTTGCTTATGTTAGAAATTGCCAAACTGTTGGGCCGGCCCGGTGGCGCACTGGATGGGTGCGCCGCTTGGGAAGCGCGGCAGCGCTCCCGCCCGAGGGTTCGGATCCCACATACAGACCGGTTCCCGCTCACTGGCTGAGCGAGGCGCGGGGGCAACACCAAGGGTTGCAAGCCCGTTGCCGGTCCCCGGTCCGGTACGGGGGCAACACTGAGGGTTGCGATCCGTTGCCGGACACGGAAAAAGACAAAAGACAAAAAAAAAAAAAAAAAAAAAAAGAAATTGCCAAACTGTCTTCCAGAGAAGTAAGCTTTACCATTTTGCATTCCCACCAGCAGTAAGTGAGAGTTTCCCTTATTCCAAATGTTCTACAGCATTTGGTGTTATCAGTTTTCTGGATTTGGCCATTGCAATAGGTGAGAAGTGGTGAGAGTTTCCCTTATTCCAAATCTTCTACAGCATTTGGTGTTATCAGTTTTCTGGATTTGGCCATTGCAATAGGTGAGAAGTGGTATATCACTGTTGTTTTGATTTCTGTTTTCTGGACGATATATGATGTGGATCATCTTTTCATGTGATTATTTGCCATCTATATGTCCTTCATAGTAAGACACCTGCTTAGGTCTTTTACCCTTTTTGATCATGTACATTTTCTTATTATTGAATTTTTAAGAGTTCTTTGTGTGTTTTGGCTGACAGTCCATCATCAAATAAGTCTTCTGCAAATATTTTCTCCTAGTGTGTGGCAAGTCTTTTCATTCTCTTGATGGTATCTTTCACAGAGCAGAAATTTTTAATTTTAATGACTTTCAGTTCATGTTGTATCTAAAAAGTTATCACCAAATCCAAAGTCTTCCAGGTTTTCTTTTATGTTCTTGGGTTTTTATATTGTTTATTACATTTAGGTCTGTGAAGCATTTTGAATTAATTTTTGGGATCAGTGTAAGGCATTTGTCAATATTTACTATTTTGCATTTGTTTATCCAGTTGTTCCAGTACCATTTGTTGAAAGAGCCATATTTGTTCATTGTATTGGCTTACTACTTTCTCAAAGATAATTTGATTTAAAAAAAAAAAGGATTGATTTCATTTGTGTAATTTGTGTAAATCTATTTTTAGCCTCTCTATTCTGTTCCATTTATCTATTCTTTTGCCAATGCCACACTGTCTCCATTATTGTAGCTTTATAATAAGTCATGGAGTCAGGAGCTGTCAGTCCTCCAAGTGTGTTGTTCTCCTTTAACATTATGTTTACTGTTCTGGGTATTTTGCCTCTCCACCTGAACTTTAAAATCAAGTTGTCGGTATCCAAAAAATAACTTGTTGGGATTTTGATGGGGATTGCATGAATGTAGAGACCAGTTGGAAGAACTGACATCCTTCTATCCGTGAACATGGAATATCTCTTCATTTATTTACTTCTATCCTTGATTTCTTGATTTTGTTCATCAGATTTGCAGTTATTCTCTTATAGTTCTTTTATATATTGTTGGATTTATACCTAAATATTTCATTTTGAGTGATGTCAGTGTAACTGTTATTGTACTCTCTTTTTCAAATTTCACTTTTTCATTTCTGGTATATATGAAAGCTGTTAACTTTTGTATTATAATCTCGAATTCTCCAACCTTGCTGTAATCACTTGTTATTTTCAAGATTTTTTTCTTTTGCATTTTCTACATAGACAATCATGTAATCTGCACACAAACATAGTTCTTCTTTTCCATTCCACATACCACTTCTTTTCCTTTTCTTTCTTTCTTTCTTTTTTTTTTTTTTTATTGTTTTAGCTAAGACTTCCAGTAGGATGTTGAGAATCTGTGGTGAGAGGGGACATCTTTGCTTTGTTCTTGATGTTAACGGGAAAGCTTAGAGTTTGTCACTGTTAAGGATAGATTTTTGTAGATATTCCTTCTCAAGTTGAAGTATACTTAAGTTCCTAATTTTCCTGAAAGTTTTCATCATTAACTAGTTTCTATTTTATCAAATGCTTTTTCTCCATCTATTGATATGATCATGTGATTTTTCTTCTTTAGTATGTTATGTGATGGATTACATTATTGATTTTCAAATATTAAGCCAGCTTTTATACCTTGGATAAAACCCATTTGGTGGTCGTGTACAATTCTCTTTATACATTGTTCATTTTGATTAGCTTATTTTGTTGAGGATGATTGCATCTTAAGTTCATGAGAGACATTGTTCTGTACTTTTCCTTTCTGGCATTGTGATTTGAACCTGTTTCCAACTTAAATTTAACCCACTAACTCCTAGTTTGAGAATGGAGTTCAGGGAAGTTGAGAGTGATGGCATGGGGCCAAGATAGAAGCTTACAGTGGTTAAGTTTTTAAGGAGATTAGGTAACCTAGACTTAGATCAGTGTCATAGAATAGAAGATGAGTGAAGCAATTCAAGAGTTCTGAAGATGGTAAAATGGAGAGAATAAAGTAATTCCCTCATGTCTTTATTTACTAGAGGATATAGTGCACTTAGCGAGTGCTTGAGTGGTTGATTAAGGCATAGTGAAAAAATTTAAACAAAG